AAAAAAAAAAAAAAAAAAAAAAAATAGAACAATCGAAATTTCACTCGAAATTTATAGAATCGTTTCTTTTTCAAAGATCGAATTTATCAAACTAAAATTAAATAAATTCTTAAACGATGTGATAAGAATGAAACAAATAACACAAGTATATTTATTCTCACGCACCTGCGAGAATAATATAAATAAATTTTTTTGCAAAAATTAAAAAAATATTGGAAAATATTATTTCGAAATCCAAACGATATAAGGCGAGCTTAACGAAATCCAAGCAAACGATATATTAAGATGTGTTTTCCAGTTAACGGAATCTCAATCTCAGTTTCAATCGTCGATCCAGATTAAGTGTCAACCTATACGCCACATCGAACATTGATACACGGATAACGGATCGATGATTCCGCAAACCGTATCCACGGAAGAGGACGAAGAGGATTCATTAGAAAACAGTTTTGCATATGCATGCACGACTGGGTTTATTAGCCTCGTGGTGGTAGTGTTTTGCAATCGTACGTGAATGGATACACGTTGACTCCAATTCGAGCAGAAGCGGACGCGGCATTTAAATCCCTCGTGTCGACTTCAACATAATGCCAGTCCTCCGGCATCGCGTGTGCGACATCGTGTAGCGACGAATCGATGAAAAGCCCAGCTGGGTTCTTCCAAAGAACGCAAGAAACAAGAATGGGGAATCTCCACGGTGGGATGTTTGATCGATCGACGTTTCGCATTGTACATCGCGGTCGGATATTTGCGGACTGATAATTTTCCGGTTGGCAAAAACAGCAACAAACGATCGCTGAAACATAGCCAAGCTTAGAAATCAGGTTCAAATGGTGTATTTCTATAATAGCTTTCTATTACCTAGAAACGTGCCTAGTTGTACAACTTGCACGATTAGAAAGAACAACTTTCTTTTTTATTTTTTATTTTTTTCAAATTATTCGATTTTTAAAGCGATAAAATATTCGTCGACTCGTTTCGAAAATAAAATGATATCATTGGTTGCTATATTATTTTCGTCGAGACTACACGATTTTGTTTGAAAGAAAATCTTTCAAAAAAAGAAAAATCAAAATCCATCCCACTTACTTCGACGAGTATTTGATTCGAGAGAAATTAACGAGAAACGGGAACAAGTTTCTCGTGCGTGAAAATTATGGTAAAAGGGAAGATGAGGGTGGAGAGCTCGTTTTGTACGAGATGATGGCGGTATAGCGGTGATTTCCGTAGCGGGTACAAACACTGCCAGATTTATTGTAGAACCGATTCATACGCGAGGGTGCGTACTCAAGTTGGGACAGTTTTTATCGGGTGTCGTGCAGACGCGTCTCGTTTCACCGATCGCAAGCAAGGGGTTCCCTTCCCGCGTTTATCTCGCTCTCTCGTTCAACCCTTTCTTTCATCGGGTTCGTAACGGCATTCATCGTAGGTCTTCCTCTGTCGCGAGTTTCAATGGTAGGAATTGAAGGGGTGAGAAGGCAAGAGCGGGAGGACAGACACAGAAGGCGAGGAGTATTCTTTGATGCGTAAAATTAAAGGGTTGAGATCTGTAAAAACGTCGTCGAAAATTTTACCAACCAGAATTCCACCGATTCTTCTCTATTTCACTCGCTGAATTCACCCCTATGCTCTTCCCCGCGCGGTTTACGCGCAAATTTATCCACCTCGAAGAACGACCAAACACCTTACCCTGTAATTTCAAACCACAGAATTAACGAGCGATTATGTTTTTTTTTTTTCGATCTAAAGAGTAAGACTTCGTGTGTTATCGAATCGAGAGACGACGAACGGTTCGTACTTTAATTAAACACTCCACGCCACCGGCCCCCTTGCGTATTTTTACACGAGGATACGTTCACAAGTGTTCCAAGGGTCCCTCTGTTACGTGCATGTAGAATTAAAAAACTCGAGAGCTCGTCATCGACGAAAAAAATATAATACACGCTGCCTTGGTCGCGTGTCACGCACCATGCCGCATGACTCACTTTTAATTTTAATTACCCTGTAATTTATAATAATTTCAAGAGTTTGGTTACATACAGCGCGATTAAATTTTAAACTTGATTATATCGTTATCGATCAAAACTCATACAATCTGTTTTTTCTAAATTCCTCCAAGTTTCATGACAGAATAAATGCAATAAGAATTTTTGCATAGGAACGTAAACGAAACGTAAACGATCTTCTGCTTCTCTAGTTTCACACACTGATTTAGTGCCATAACAATGGCCATTTTTTTACGAGTGATTTTTCCCCGCGTAAACCGAGATAATTAGCCGTGTCCTACCGTAACACCACGACGCTGTTACACCACGTCGCTATTGCGCTCTTCTTTTTCACGGTTAAATCGTTCACCGAGCCTAGCATTACCATGTTTCCCGTTTATGAAAAGTTTCCTCGTTTCTAGAAAATGTCTCACGTCCCTGATTTCATACTTTTTCTTCGATGGTCGAGTGCGAAAGTGACCGATTATTTTAAAAATGCACGAATCTCAGGCTTTCTAGGGGAAGAGCGGTAAAAAATAAACGCGATTCGACGTAAGTAAGTACCGCGTGGTTTCGTCGAGGAGAAAATACGTTTGCCGATTAGATGCGGCAAGCGGCCATGACGGAAATAGAAAAAGCGAAAGAAAGAAAGCACGTATCTCGTTGATTACATGCGCGATTTAATCAAAGCACAAACGTTGCGCGAACGTACGTGTGTTCTATGTGAATATGGAGAAAAAACTCGTAAAATATTTGAAAAAATTTAAATCCATAGCTTAAAATTACGAACTACGATGTACTATATTGATTTCTCAAGTAAACCTTTTTTTGAAACATCATACATTTAATAATTTACATGTCTATATACGTTTTTTTTTTCAATTAATTTTATTATTTTATATTTGTATAAGAATTATTCAGATTCAGAATTCAAAAGAAAAATTCAACTCCATATCTTTGAATGCAGTTCTTGCAATGTAGTAATTTACATTTTATATGTATCGATATATATACAATATACGTGTTGCTCTGAATACAAATAGTACAAAGAATTAGACGGAAGGCTATTTAAGTTGATGGTAAATTGCAATTCCAATCATAGTATAACGAAACACGTGACGATCATAGCCACGCCTTGTTCGCATTTATCCTCCAAGTTTCTTTCGTGCGGTGAACGCCGATACTTCCGGCGATTGCTTTACGGAAGACTGGTACTACTACGCGAATGTCAGCCAGCCGTACAATTAAATTTTACGTGAATCGAGCAACCACGCGGAGCACGCTTACTTGTAGTACGCTAACAGGTGTGATACGCTTGGCGCAACTGCTATTACAATTTAGTCGAGATCTTATTTCGGTTAGTAGATCTTGATAAAAATACCATGTGACTTATCAATAAGTTGATATCTAATATCAACAAATAGAAAGTATTATTTGA